ATAATTGTATATATATATATATATATATATATATACTATATAAACAAATGTCAGCCTGTGGATTTGTGTGTTTTTTATAGACTCCTAAATCATCCAACTGAAAACGACAAACAGTTCAAAGCTCGAGGAAGGTCATGGTCGATATTAGAACATTCTGCGACAAACCGTTCAAGCTGGATGAGGAAAAACGAAATGGAATTTTCTGATAGGTTAAACGTTAGCCATGTTTTAAATTTTACTATTAACGATTCAGTTTTCAAATATTTTGAAGATAACATCAGCGATATTTTCTACCTTTACTATTTGTTTAGAAAAGTTAATTATACTTTAGTATATAGTTATTTTTTTAAACACGATGTCATATAAATTCAATGAACAATTTTAACTTGCTATCATTCATGAATTACGTCACCAAATTAATATTTTTAAAATTATCTTATATCACGTGTTTATTTTGCTTATAATAATTCCTTTAAAGTGTTTTTCTGTAAAAAAAAAAAGTAATTTAAAATCAACGGTAATTCAAATGAAAAACGATAATTTATGTATGCAATGGCAAAATTAATAGAAAAGTGATTTTAATTCGCTAAGCTGATGAGTAAAAAAGTCGTCATTCTATTATATAACGCCGTACTGTCAACATTAATTAAATTATTGATAATGATATGTTTAATTAATGTTGATATTAAATATTTAATGAAATTAAAAAATAACCCATCTGCAAAAAAAGCAAAGTGGGGAAAAGATATTTATTCGTTTTGAGTGATTTATTATTCGCTGTACTATATTATTGACACCTATGATTAATTAATATTGGTAATATGTATTAATTAAAATAAAAATAATTAAGCTGCGTGTTAAAAAGCTAAGTGAATAGAGTAAAGACTTACAGGAATTTCGTTTAAATGAGTAGTAGAAAATCCAGATGACGATTAATAAATTTTGGTAATATGTACTACTGCTATGATAATTTGTGCAGATATAGTAAGAATTCTGCAACAGGTTTTCAGTAGTTTCAGGAAGACTTTTTTCCAGTAGTAGCCAAGAAAATGTATTATTATTTTACTGAATTAAAATTAAAAGAACTTTTTTCCATATTTAACAGGTCCCGCAGTGGACTGATCGTTAAGACACGGTTCCCAACAGATCACCGAAGTCAAGCATCACTGGCTGCGGTCAGTGTGCGGGTGGGTAACCACTTGGATCAGTCTGCGTAGGGACCGAGGGTGTGCGGTATTGGTCTTCGTTAAACTGTTCTATCGTAAAGTGCTCGACTTCGCGTGCAGGTCGTTGGGCTACCGAAGCGGGGGTGCCATCCCCTCCGTAGAGGATCAAAATTGTGATGGCATGTCTTCGGATCATTCTCCGGGATGTTTCCCAGACCGTCGCCAACAGCCCATTGTGCAGCTCTAGTGCGACGTAAATTAACAACAACCATATTTAACAGCATATTAAAGGTCAGAGAGTAAACACGCCAGGTTCTGAAGTCCTTATCAAGGTCTTATATAAATCCTATTTGTTTTTAACACTTCACTTCGGCTTCAGTTAGACGTCGCTGATAAATGTGATTCGCACAAGGCTCTGCATAGTCAGGTGAGCACAAGCAAGTAAAATCAACGAATATAAATGAAGGCGAAAACAAATTTCATTCAAATTGTACGTTTTCAATAATTACTTATACAGGGTGATTCTAAAAAGATGGGCAAAATTTTAGGAAGTGATAATACACACCCAAGCAAACAATTTTTATCAAAGAATGCCTGGTCGAAAACAAAACGCAAAGGTGCTGGCGCATTTTGAAAGGTGTTTGATGCAAGCGTGAAAACTTTATTACTGTTGCGAGTTACTGCGCTGCATTACTTGCCGCCAGGCTTTCGGCCGCCGCAGGGAAAGTTCGTGATATGCCTGGTGTGTTTCAGAATGTTCGCCTATCTTTTCTTCGCCGTTGTACTGCGTGCATAGTCGCTGCCGGCCACTGTTTTGAACACTTATTGTAATCACATGCCATTAAATTTGCTTTTATAACTTAACTTCATCGTTCTTTGTGGTTTTTTGCTTCATATAAGAACATAAACTTTAACACCCTCTAGCGGTTTTGCGTTTTGTTTTCGACCATGCATTCTTTGATAAAAATTGTTTGCTTGGGTGTGTACTATCACTTCCTAAAATGTTGCCCATCTTTTTAGATTCACCCTGTATTTAGAGGCCTCCTTGGCGGAGCGGTATGGCCCGCCAAACGCTCTGTTAAGCGTGGAGGTGGCGGGTTCAAATCCCGCCGTAACCCTGAATGTATTCTTTGTGATGTCCTTCTACTTGACAAACTTTATAAGCCTCAATTGAGCACACAAGCCTGCAAATGTATGTTTACCAATACTTATATTTAGTATGCAATTTTTGGTCAGCACAATTAAAGATAGTTATCGAAAATTTCGGTGTTGACAGTTGTCATTTGAAAACTAAGAAGTCAAATAAGATTAAGCCTACTTCTGTTACTCAGATTCTCCGTTTTTCTTTCGGTTCGACCTTCATCCCCTAAATCGCTGAAATAAACGCGTGCTAGTGACACTTGGCTGTCACTTTATCCGCGTCAACTAATGATGAGGGGCCTATAACATAACGGGATTTATTTCCGGACAATTTTAAACAAAAACCAGCAAAATTGTTGGTCAAGCAAATAAAAAACACATGAAGTTGAAATAAATATTTTTTTCAAATGTACTTTCCAACGATCTTCATAGGTTACTTGATTGCAGCCTTGTAATTTTGAACCCATTCAAGACGACAAGGGAACTCCTGAATCAAGTATTTTGCCTTCGTGGAGACTTTTTGATGGAACTAACCCGTATTTGCGTTAAACGGAGAGGAAAAACTCTTATGGTTAGCCTGACGACTCTAACGCATGATCCGTCAACCACTGAGGATATTTTACGTCAGCACTAAGCTGAGATTCGAATCCGGATTATCTCATTGAGAGGCAAGCTCTCGATCCCCTGAGCAACCACGGCTGTTGATTGTGAGAAGCTCGATGAAGTCGTTAACTTACACGACACCAGACATGTTATAAGGTGTGTGAAGTCATAACCCGAATGAAAGTCTGATTTTTCATCTCCGATTCTCATAGCCAGCTGTCAGGCAAGCATTGCCAGGCGAAGAAAACTTCGGAAGTCAGGTATAGTGCGAATTTGACATCCTTTTTAAAGGCTTGTGAAGTCAGAAAACTGCTGTGTTTTAAAGGGTCACACTCCTTCTCTTTTTGTTATAAATAAACTATTTTGTATTGAATTAAAGTGTTTTGAAAACAAATTTTTCATCAAAATGAAATATGCATTTAGGATTTGATTGGTGGTCCTTTAAGCAGTATGATCAAGCCAAATTCAGTAACAGTGTTCCCCCAAGTTCCTAAAACTCGATAATTGTATTTTATAATTCTTCATGATTTTAAGTTTTTCTTATTGTAGTTTTTATTTAGACCGAATTTACGTATAAGCTAAATAGGCTGCAGTTTAGGAGCCTTGAAAATTGCAAGGAACCCCAGAAATTATAATTTTTTAATGCTTTACTTGATCTCAAAGTTCCATAAAAAGTTCACTTGTTGGATAACAATTGAATGTTAAGTTTTTATTTTATCCCCTCGTACCCCTTGTGCATTTTTCGATTCACCTGCCGTAATTGAAAATTTCTAAGTAATATAGTATTCGCAAGGCAAAGTTGAACACAAAGGTGACCCCTAGCCCTAGGAGTTTTGAATATTCTTCGGTTACCTGCCATGGCCCTCTTAGTCAGTTTACCCCACGTGAATCTATTAGAGTCGTGGGGGCTCAGGGGATAGAGCACTATCCTCCCAATGAGATGACCCGGGTTCAATCCCAGCGAGAGCTAGTTTATTCGAATTCCGCACCCGGCTTGCACCCACCAACCACAGTGCTGACGTAAAATATCCTCAGTAGTTGATGGATCATGAGCTAGATTCCCCTTGTCGTCGGGATAACCATGGAAGGTTTTCCTCTCCATGTAACGCAAATGCGTGTTAGTCCCATCAAAATTTCCTCTATTACTTGATCCAGGAGTTCCTTTGTCTTCTGGATTGGGTTCAAAATTACAAGGCTACGGAGTTGCGCATTAGTAGTTGTAAACCCAAAAATTTGGATCGGCAGTTCAAAGAAGGCTTTAAAATCTAAATCTATTCTGTTTTATTTCTCCATTTATTAACTCCTAAGCCTTTAACTACTTCTCTACCGGATCTAATCATTTTGTTCTAGGTCTTCCTCTTTTTCTCACTGGTGATCGTGTTATTTTTTTAACAGGATTATCATCGCTATATTGAAATACATGCCCTAGCCACCTCATTTGAGAAAGATCATTTTTACTATTTTAAGTTCTTTGTCTTTTGGATTGTAATTCATGGTTGTAACGAATTCTTCAGCTACCGTTTTCTTTTACTCCACCAAAAATTTTTATTAATATTTTTCTCTCGAAAATCATCAGTTTCTCTTAGTTGCCCAGCAATCGCTGCCATACGAGACTATTGTTCTCACTTGAGTTTAGTCTAGTCACTAGTGTCTTATAGAGAGTATTTTTGACAACCAAGTAATATTATCAAATACTTTATTAAATAAGACAGTTTGAAGTTTAATATTAAAAAAAAAAAAAGACAGTTTGTTTTCGGGATATTGAAAATGAAGTTAAACCCACTATCTCCAATAGCTTAAGTCCCCGCTAAACTAAAATCCGGTCGTTTTTTTTATTTTATAGAATTATTAAAAATAATGAATAATGGCGTCACGTAAAAGACTTGAACTGGATCGTTCGCAAAATCGACGGTTAAATGATTGTTTACAGTTCAAAAGTTGAAAGGATTTTGGATAGCGAGCTCCATAAGTTCCTTGTCCCGAAACTGACTCATTGAATCAGCAAACCTAGTAGCGATCGGAGACTGCCAAGCTGCGCTGCTACATATTGATGTAGTTCTTCTTTCAATGAAAAATTGGACATACAACCTATTTTGATTTTTAAAATTTTATTATTTTTTTGTTGTTTACAACTGGGTTTACAGTTTTTAGTTTATTTTCACATTCAAATGCTAAAACACGAATACACAGAACAGACGTTAATATATGAATGCTTGCATTTTAAATACACAAATACAGATGATAAATATCAAGGCACATTATGTCATTAAAAATATATTTATTCCTGATACAGGAGACTATTTTCGACAGCAATTTTTAGTTTACAAATGTTGAAGTTCATCAAACATTAAAATCAAATAACTGGACCAAAATCCCAAATAATTAAATTTAAAAAAAAAACTGCTAAGCTTGTGAGTGACGTTTATCAATTGCATAGATATTTATTAAGGTTGCCACCATTTCTCCAATGGCATGCAGAGAAGGGGGGGGGGAAAGGGGGCAACTGTCCTAGGAGGTCTTTCATCAAAAGGGGTCATCCAATCAATGACTAAACTAAAATTTTAAAATCCATTGCATATTTATTTTTTTAATGAAATTATGCTTTTTAACATTTGAATTAAGCTATGATTTTCAAACAAATTTAAAAATTCTTCAGATTTAAGTATATATATATATATATAACCATTGAATAATATTTGGATTTAGATTTTTATTATAACATAAATCTTACCAACGTTTTTCTTTTAAATTTTTTTGCCCTTCTTAGTTTCTAATCCAGAAATTCGTCCCTAGCATTTTTTCACCTCTGAAAGCCATTGGATTCAAGGTTATAAAGGAAGATATGAGGAGTGTACTACATATACGGTATAACTGATTAATTCAGGGGTGGGCATTTGCTTTGACGTGGAGGGTTGTACTTTTAAAAACGATTGTATATTGCATTCAGTAGTTAACTTTGCACGTCAGAAAAGATTAAATTGAACCATAAATATCAATTAAAATAAATTAAATACAGTAGTAGAAGTTTGATACAATTTATTTCATTGTTTAAATTTTATAACACTTATGGCTACAAACAAGTTTAATTTTAGAATCACTCACTCTCATAACACTTTTTTACAATCTTTTTGAAATCAAGAGCTGTTAGTTGAATGTAAGTTAATATCTCTTAAGCAAATTTAATCTTGCTTTAGTTGATCTTTTGTGAATCCTTAGCGGTTTGGTTGCTAGCAGCAACAAATCTAACTGTGCACTAAACTTCATTTCTTATTTAAAAAATTAGAGTAAATAACGTGGATTTGGAAAGAAAAAAAAATTAACAATAAATTAAGAAAAAGTCCTAGTTAAAAAAGTACCAAAAAAAATAAATTGAAAAATACGACTAATACGGATGTAAATGGTTCCCCAATGGAACCCTCCTCTACACACTTGCAAAAGGGGAATTTTTCTCATTGTCTTTTTATAATGTCAATAACATGCTGACCACAAAAAAAATTGAGGCTGCTATTTGCCCATCCATGGATTAAGCAGTTATATAAAATGGATTTTAAGTCCTGATGAAGATGGATGTGTAGAGCACAGTAGGACCGATTTTAGTGACAATAGCTAAGGTTTAGTGACTGATTTTATGGTCCAATGACGGCTTTTAAAGAAAGTACCGTTTTTGATGAACGAATATGATGGAATGGCGTTAAAATTTATGTAGCTTCAGAAACTCAGTGTTACTAAAGGATAAACTAATATTTTAAAAAATTAAAAGAATTTTGCATACCACAACACATAAAATAATTTAAATGGATTTATAAAAGATCAATTAGTCTCATGGTCATGGCCATAAATTCTAATAAAAATGTTGTAAAAATACTATTTGTTTGGAAACCTTTTGTTTTGATTCACTTTCACTGGGGGAAAAAAACATATGTTGGAAGGCATGAGACTTAGACATAATTTTAATCCTTAACAATGTTTTCACATTAAATGGTTACGTTTGTTACACTGTCATATGCTTTTCCTACTTTCCTTTATAACCCAGATAGGTGGCGCTTCTACCGCTGCTAAATTTCTGACATTATTACATGAGTAAATTTTCATTGGTCCAATCTGTATGAATACTAATACATCATACAAAATTAGATCTTAACAAGCATGAAAAGTAAAAGTAAAGACTCTCAATAAATTAAAATATAGCTATGACAAGAATGTCTAGCTTTTAATTTTATTTGATATTAAATAGCTATTATATTATTTTAACAGTTTGAATTATATTATTGTATTCTGGGCAAAGTGCTAAAACCACGAATGTACAAATTTATGAAGAATGATTTATCAATTAGTAAACAATGCTGTATCTTAGTCGTTGACACGGATGTGAACATTTCAACTAAAATATCAATTTGAATAGTACACATGTATACTTTTATTTTGTTAATAGAATCGAAAATATTTAAATATGTTTTTGTTTTGTTTCAGAAGCAATTTTTCTGCACATTCATGATTTTGTTGGGCTGCAGACGATATCAAAATTTCTCTTATAATCATGCAGCATTTTTTTTTAAAAGAACGAACACATTTCACAGGTTTTGAAAACACAATTAAATGTTCAGTGTTCTTAAGTAGGCTTTCGAACATAAAACCTACCATTTTACAAAGACACATCTTTGCTATGCCTGTTTTTAATGATTTAATGAATTCCATTAAACCAGAAACGCAATAATTATACAAAATTTTTATCCCCAAACTTGCTTCAGCAAAAAGTTGAAACCTTTTAATTATCAAGTTAAAACTTATCTTCATTATGAAGCAGGAAGACATCAATGAGAAAGAAAGATATAACTTTAAAATATGCAAGATTCTGAATACACACTTAAAAATATAAAGACAAAGAAAAAAAGAAACAAATCTTTAAAATAATCTTTTATGAATCCACGTTCAAAAAGACACTCATAATTTTAATTATTTTGAAGTCAAAAATTGAAACAATGGTAAGTCTAACTTCATGCAAGTTTTCATTGCCAATATCAGTTTCAAACTATCGTAGAGTATAGAGAAAAGTTAACTTTTTAAATAAAAAGTAATTTAAAATAGAATATGGTGTGTGTAATTGTTTCAGGGTAACTGTCGTTACCTTTTTTTAGTTAATACACATTGACTGTGTACAAAGTTTTACATCTGTATTCAACTTACTTTATTTAAAAAAAAAATTTGCATTTAAGTTTAGTTTCAGAATTTAATTAAAAATTAATATTTGAAATTAATTTTCAAACACATAGCAATGTAAAATACAATATGATGTAAATAATTATTTTAGGGTAACTATAGTTATTTTATGTTATCTTTTTTACATAATATATATTGACTGTGCAAAAAGTTTTACACCTATATTTAACTTGCTTTATTTTTTTTTAAAAATTAAATAAAAAATTTCAAAAATCAGCACTTAAAAAGCTGTTTAATTCTAGAAGTAAAACATTTTTTTTTTCAAATTTTTGCAATTGATAAATACTTCTTAAATTGTAACATTTTAAATGGAAGCTCTCATTGAAAGATATCAAATGCCTTATGAAATGGCACATCATTGTTTTCTGCTTTATAAAGAAGCAATATACTTCTAAAATATGACATAAAATACAAATTGCATAGTTAACAACTAATTTGCATTTGATCATCTGATACAGATGAAATAAAATTACAAAATTAAATGCAGCCGAGCTACATTTCATCATGAAACATACACATTTAATCATAACGATGAACAGTTTTACAAGACTGTTACCCTCCAAAATATGCTTTAAAAACCTTCAACTACATCTTTTTGCTACACACCAGTACAAAAGACAACACAGAACTAGAAATTCAGAAACAAAAACATTTTAAGTCTTTAACTAAACCATACCATTCAAAGCATTTTGGAAGAAAAATTTCAAATTGATAACAATAAATACCAAAAAGTACACAAATTTACAAAGCATGCTGTTCTTTTTTAAACTTGATATTTTAGAACTAAGATATTATATAAACATCTGCTCATTTAACCCTTTGGGATCGCTATTGACACAGTGCAGTTGCAACTTGATGTTAATCGCAATTACTTGGAACGTAGCACAGAGAATAAGATAAGCTTATTTATATTCTATATATAATTATGATTATAATCCTGCAATAGGCCAGTGGGATCATAGACGTTAAGGCTCGACAATTTTGTGACAAATGGCATGATTGCAGCAATGAGGTCAGTATCGCTCGCAAACTACCTTCGTTTCCCAGACAAACTGGTACCCACGTATCAGAAGCTAGATAGGCTTCAATCTACATAATTATTACAATATATTTCAATTATATGAATGGAAAAGTAACCGAGAAAGGTCAAACAGGATCCATATATTGACTCTAAATCTTGAATGGAAAAGTGACTGAGAAAGGTCAAATTTTCTCACACTCATTTGTAATCAATTAGCAACCCCAAAGAGTTAAAGTAAATAAAAAAGTTTTCTACAGAGTGTTTTATAGAATTGCAGATGATAAAGATTGTAAAAAATTTTAATGTCATTTCAACATCGAAAAAGTAATCCATGAACTGAATTTGCATACAAGTTAAAAAAAGAGATGTGCAATAAAGACAAACATTTTGAGACGATTGATCTCTAAGTTACAACTTTGAATACAAACTTTATCTATTTACATCTACAAGTGTGTTGTTTTTATAATTATTTTAGAATACCGTTTACAATTAATACCAATTTCGTTAAAAAAAACTCTGTAGAAAATATGTCATGCCCACATATAAATTTAACCCCATAGCATGCATGCAGATTTAACTTAAGTGAGATTTACAGTTTAGTCAAAAATTTTATACAAAATATCAATCATCCACCTAAAGTTATAGGCTAGGCCTTTAAGTATATGCTACAAACACCAAAGTCAGAAAAAGAGTAATATAATCAGCCAGCAACACAGTCCAAATCAGTATGATTAACGATGTATGCCACTACACTTCTGATCTTGATTGTTTACACGTAAGTTCCATTATTGGCCTGTAAAAAAAGTTTTGTTTTCTTAAAAAAAAATGAAACACTAAATTGAAAACAACAGCTATTTATTAAACAACAACTAAATTTAACTTAAAAAAATATATGCATAACATTTTTCAAATGCAAATAAATAAGGAAAAAACTCATCACAAAACTTCATCAACAAAAGATTCAATAAAATAAAACTTTTGCAATTGTCAGAATGAATCAAAAATCTCAGTTCTCAATACAACTTAGCACAGAATGTAGGTATTTAAGTGTGAGGAATGCTATGTGAGTGTTCAGATATTTAACTTACCGAAGGCAAGCTACATCCTGCAGTAAGGTTATCAGTTCTGAAAATTTGCTAAAAGGAAAGAAAAAAAGATTGTAAGGAAAATAATAATACTGACATCACAAATTTGTAAATACATTACAGTGATAAATTAAAGTAAAAAACTATTTGCCTCATTGTGAAAGGTTTTCATAAAACTTTAAAAAACAAATGCTTAAAATAACTTGGATGTTCTCGTGAAAAAAATCAACTAATTTAATAAGTGATGATTTCAAATTTCACAACTGAAACACAGCGATATTTAGTTTATTTATAATTAAACGATTTGAGTTCATTCATAAGCTTTAGTTTAATATTCGGCTTCTTATTTTGTTTACAGCCTAGATATTTTATACTTATTTAAATTAATTTTATAAATTGGTAAGCAATAAACTTGGAATTTTGATGTCTTCATGGTATTACAGCCTACACTGAAAGTAGTTTTTCTCAGGATAAAAAGTATAGTGAAAAAAATTGAAAGTTATTTTGTTTAGATTTTTTTAAAGAAAAAAAATACATTTGTAACAAAAAACATTAAACATAAAACACTAAGCACACATTTAAAAATATTTCACACTTTATGAAAATTTTATTTAATATCAGACTCCCATACTATAACTATGTGATCATTTTTAATTCTATACAAGATAGCCCAACATTCCGAATAGTTGAAATAGTTTCTTTCTTAAAGTAATTAGGAAAGATTATTATTAGTCTGTAGACTTAATAATAATGTCTGTAGATTTAATGCAGATGCAAAAATTTTAAAAATTTGCTAATCAAAGGTAATTTAACGATAGCTTATATGGTGGGCGACATTAGTTAAGATTAAGTTAAATTAAAACTGGATTTAACCACACAAACTAATTTTAAAGATTAATAATTCGTTTACAATGATTATTAGAATTTTGAAAAATAATTTCAATTAACTTTTACAGATATGCTTAGATTTTTGATTTTTTTTACTCAAGTTTTGCATAATAATTTCACTTATACAACAGTTTTTATAATTAAATTTTTTTTAAAATTCTAGTTTTAAAGAATAATTTCCCCTTTACAATGTTTTAGATTCTTGATAATATTTATTTATTTCTTTTTTTACAGTTTTTGAATAATTAATGTATCATCTACAGAATGATTTTTATAATTTTAATGACATTTTTCTTTCTGTTCATGCTCTCATTTTGAAGATTACATCTAATTCTATATTGAATTTTTTGCTGCCTTTTTTAAAATATTTTTTTTCTAAACAAAATATTAATTTGCGGTTTTCAGTGCATGTTTAATGGGGTCATTTTTTACTATTTTAGAATCCTGATATGATGAAGAATAATTGGGGAGAAAAATAAATTTTTAAACTAACTTTACTTACTCCTAGCCAGTTATCAAAATTCTGTTCTGGAGCAAAAGAGCTAGATGCACCCTGATTTGTCATCCAATTCATTTCAGATCCAGTGCCTTTAATAAGTCTGAAACAAATTCATTCATATTAAAATATGATGCATACAATAATAGTTAATAAAGGTTACAAAAATAAACTTTAACACTACATCTATAACTTAAATCTTAATATATATACATATATATATTTCTTATATGTGGCACTATATACTCAGGTATTTCTATTATCTATTGGCAACAACATAGTCATTATTCATTTTGACCGATTGCTCTAAGTAATAATTTAAAGAGTTATAAAAAACTAGATATACATTAAGCATTTATTCTGATTCATTTTGCTAGGTTATCTTATTGTCTTAAGTAATAATACTAGTAATGTTGAATAGTTAATTATGCATTAAAGTCATTCAGAATAATTTGCATTTTTTAAAGAAATAAAAACTTAGTTACAAAATAATTATATAGATCTACTTTAGATCCTTTCTAAAATAGCTGTAGAAATTTTAAATATGCACGGTGCTATGATGAAACATACTGTCATATCAATTATTGCTGGCGGATCCAGCCTTTTTCGAGCAATAGCAAATATATTGAGCGGTAGTCATTATTGCTCGAGAGTCATTATTGCTTATAAAAAGATAATGAAGTAAGGCTTACTTCATATTGATTTCTATAATTGAGGCTTACTTTATTACTTAGCATTCACACTAATTTAAATATTCATGCAAACAGAAAAATGAGGTGGGGGGATCAAGTTTGATACAAATTTTTTTTCAGAACTTGCAGAGAATTTACAAAAATATGTGAAAACTAGGGGAATTTTTAATTGAACTAGGAAAAACAAAATCCTGTAGAATTGATTTCTAAGCTATTATTAAGAAATAAATTGATATTTTGATACACTATCAAGTATCAATTTTTTCTCAATATCAAGCCTAGTTATTAAACACAGCAAATACACCACATATATTTAATGTGATATGAGTTTTGAATCTCCCTTATGTCATTTCCTTATGAAAAGGTAATTAAGGTATCAGGTATACATCAGGTTATTCAACAGAGTATTTGTTAAAAGAAAAAAAAATTTAGCAGTTTGTGGTGTAACTACCACTATAAATATTGAATACCAATTCACTAGTATATAAGACATGTTAACTTAATTCTATCACGAGGTACCTTTTGATAGATGAAGGTTGACATAGTAACCCCACATTGGTGACCTGCTGACGGGATATGAACTTGTCAACATTGATGGATGGTTCACATTTAACAGTTGATTTGCTTTAAAATATACCGCTCAAAGAAAAAAAAATAGCCGGTGAAGTAAATGAAGTCTCCCTGTAATAAACAATATTGAGAAGAAAAAAAAATGAGCGAAATACTATAAAAAATGACTTAAAAAAATACCCAGCATAAATCAACTAGTGGTATCCGTTCATCGAATTCTATCGCAGGTAAAATTCTGGAAGAGGAGTAATGTGACCTAACTACCACTATAAATATTGAATTCCATTTCACTAGTATATAACTTGATTTTATCTTGAGGTACCTTTTGATAGATGAAGGTTGACATAGTCCATAAATAAATCCCCACACAGCTAAACTACTAATAACAAAAATAGTTTCAGTCAAAAAGTTTTTAATATAAAACTTACGGTGCAAAACTTGGCACAAACTTGCTCCCATTGTTTGAAGAAGATGCTGGCAACTGTGCGTTCATCATGGAAGTTGCTTCAGAATTCAATAACCTCTGACTCAACAAAGTTGGTGTTGTTTCATTCAAAAGGGGTGCTGGCTTGCTCATCATGGATGCAGAACTTTCAGCAATGACACTTGGAGATCTGTTGCTCATGAGGGAATCCATGGTATACATTCCACTATCTGTGCATGTATCTTCGATTTTAGGAACAAAGGAATGTATCAAGGTGTCAGATATTGTTGGAACATCAGATGTCGTTTCGTCAATAATAACAGTGGGGGGAATGTTTCTCAGAGCAGAGAAACTGGACACTCGACTTGAAGATGACGGGATTGCACTTGGAGATGGCATCGCATTCGGAGATGGTAGGCGTAGTGAGGAGTTAGAGATGTTAGCAGGTGGACTCATGGAGGTTGACGGCACTGCATTCGGAGATGGTAACCTCAGTGATGAGATGCTAACGTGAGAGTGAATAGAGCTCATAGAACTGCTACGGCTTCGACTGGAAAAAACAAATAAATACAAACAAGAGATTAAAAATAGGTGCTTAAAAAGAAAAAAAAAATTAAAGTAAATTTGGGAACAGCAGTTCTCAAATTGCATGAAATATTTGGAAAGTTATTTCATAGTCTCACCACATGCTCTCAGTCATCCTAGAAATTTTCACGACCATACATACATTCACAGACCATTCTAAAAATACATTCAAAAATAAAATACTCAACATTCAAATTAATGTTCTTGAAGATTAAATTTCCTCAATGATTAGTACTTAGCTAGCCGACAGAAAAAAAATTAAGTTTCTTTTAAAAAAAAAAGTAGAAGTTTTAGAGGTTTAATTAAATTAAAAGCAAACAGTCATTTTAAAAACTTCATTAATTCTTTAAGAAGAATAGCAAAGGTGATAGTCAAGTCATGGAGGTCAATGATGTCAACATTGCACACTAGCCGCTTCTGCATTAATAAGACTAGACTAAAAAATGGCAATTAAATGTTCCTCAATTATGAAAATTAATATTATTTTTTAAACTTATCAAGTAAATTCTCATAATTTTTTTATGATGATTTTAAGAGAAATTTCAAATATTCAAATTCATTTTAAGTTTTAGAATCTATGTAAATAATACATAAAACTCATTTCACTAAAACCTTTGTTTTAGTTAAAGAGTTTCTTTTGTAATAATGATCATTTCTAAAAAAAAATAAAAAAAACTATGGTTAATTGAAAAAGTTTATATAAATCACAAGTTAGTTGAAAATTTAATAGCATTTTATTTAAAAAATGTAATCATAAGGAAATCCAATCAACCAAGAATAAAAGGTTTATTTGCATAAATCTGATCAAAGAATAAACTAGATGTGTTGAAAAATAATTGAGAGTCACTTCAAAAAACAGTGAACGTCACATTTAACATTTAGGTCTTACCCATAATGCTTGGCGAACATTGTGAGATCACCCATGTCATCTTAGAAATTCAAAATAAAGGCATCTTTTTTTCCCCAGAGGGATTGATAGAGAATCGAGCCAACATCTCAAAGACCCTAACAAGAATAAATAGGTCGCTTTTTTTCTTTTTTAACTCTTGGACAACAGAAAATAATCAGGATTCAAAACTCAATGCATTAGAAAACTAATAATAGAATAACAATCAAACAGTACATACCATTTTCTAAAAAAATGCTACATACATTACTCTTTAAGAATGTAAAAAAATAATTAAGAGGCAGAATCAAGATGAAAAAAATAATTATTAAAAAGAATAATAGAGAGACATTTGCTTTTGAATGAACAAGTTGATTAAAGACATTCTGTTTAAGAAGTGTTTCAAATACAAAATTGCTTCAAGAAAAATATAAGTTTTTTTTAAAAAATAAATCCTTCAGAAAGCATTTAGTTAAAATTTAATAAAAGATAAAAAAGACACAATATCAAGCCATATTATGAAAGGTTAGAGCAACCAAAGAAATAAAACAATTGATGTATGAATAATCAAACACGCCAGGTTTCATCAGCTTCATTCAACTAACTTGAATTCAAGCAACCATTCACACACATCACACATCGATGTCAAATAAATTTAACACACGTGTTCATAATATCTTTATTCAGAATGATTTACATCGTCAGCACATTTGAGACACATGCGTGTACAGTACTCGTGAACAAGTAAACCATTTCCAAACAGGAAAAGCTACATTTTCTTCAGAACGCACACAATTTACAATCACAACATTCATTCACTCACTCAATTCATTCAGAATAAAATAAAACTAGAAGTTATCACACCAGTTTGAATCGTTTACCTTACATTAAAGCTATGTAATAGGCTACAGGAAATTCAATTTTGATTGGATTATCTTAGTAGCTGCGAGTGTAAATACAAGTCACATTAGCTACATGACAATTGAATTTGGTTGAAATATTAATTTACATGCTAATTGGAATAGAACCTTGCTAATAGGCTCAAGTTTAATTTGAATTTTTTCATTTACATCATCCGTTCATAGGCTACTAGTGTGGACAACTCAAATTCAATCTGCATTACTTGATTTACATTCCTTTAAATAAGATATGTGTTTTGAATTGAACTTGAATTAAGGTTTGAACAGTTACATTTATATCATATTGAGTTTTAATAAAAAAATAGACTTGAGTCAGAATTACTAAATTTCAACATTAGAAAGAGCTACGAAAATGAAAAATAGGCACATTTTCTTGGACATTTTCAATATAAAAATCATATATGCATTTTTTTGTGAAACAAATTAGAAATACACTAATATAAGTAACAATGGATCAATAAATTTTACTTTAAATAACTGAAATGTCATTGGTTCAAATTAGACAACATTTTTATTGGTAAAACATTTGGTATGAATAGATTTTTGAACTATATATGATTATGTTTAAAAAATTAATGATTGTTAATAATTTTTAAAAATTCTTAATGGTGCACTTAAGAAAAAATCATTATTTTATCGTAATAATTCAAAATTTATCAAGCAGCTGCAGCAATAACTTCTAATTTAAAATACTTTTGTATCCGTGAAATCAACTTTTCTCTTTAAACAGTGTTAGCACTATAAATCCCTAATAGTAACTTTATTCGCTGGAATTGTGCAATTAAAATGAACAGCAAGACACGGTATACATTTAATTTTCATCTAGATTTAAAAAACATTGACAGAAAATATTTTTACGTTAATTATTGTTGATTTCTTGGATACCTGAAAAATAAGACAAAATGAAAAAGTTACCTATGGCTCCTGAAAAGTACATAAATTTATAGAAAGCAACATGGGCACTGCATTAATAACTCACAAAACTTAATAAACATATATTCATTGTAAATTCTCCAATCTACAAGTATTTGCATTTTACAATTCGTAAATTTTCATTTAATCATAAAATTTTCCGAAAATAATTGACTGAATCACTATAAACATTTATAGTCGTTAAACTAGAAACATTAACAGACTTTTTAAATTTTCATTTGAAAAGAATGTCTCTCTTGTGCAACAGTTTAAAAGACGTTTTTAAATGTATTATTCAGAAATAATCATATTGACGAAACAGTGATTTAAAAATTTGGTTTCGGTCTATCCAAGTTACAAAAATACCGCAAAATTTTGATAGGAAACTATGCTTTCGAATTAATCAGTTAAATTTTAAATATTAATTCATTAATAAACAAAATGCAGATTAACTGATGAATTAGAAATGGTTTTATAACCTTATCTTTTCTGGCTCATTTGAGAAAAGTCATTGTAAAAAGAAATAAACTTGATCCAAAATAAGATACCTTCTTTGATTATTTATTAGAATATGTAAAAAAAAAACAAAGTATTTGTGAAAACCTAGATGCAGATAGTTGGCGTAGATATAAACAGGATAGAAATATTCTTCCAAAATTTTAAATGAATTAGAAATTTTTTTTATACATAGACTACTAAATAACAGTTTTTTTAAAAATCAATCTGCATTTAGGGGTCTCTTTGCAAACATGAGCCAAAATGCAATATGCAAGAACCAAAGTTCTAGCAAAGTCCTTTTGTATCTACCCGATTTTATGAGAAATTCTATCAGTGCCCATATTGCGATACAAAAATATCTGCGATCGCTGGGGGTTCCATAGAAATTGGAAGAACACCATGGGGAACAAAGAAATTCTTCGCGGAATGTAAAAAATGCTAAAAGTTGTAGAAACGGCCAATGCAGAAGTAGCTTTTACATATATAAGGGTGGAGGACGCAAAATGAGCACTACATTTCTAATCTAGAAAATATGGACGGTTATTCAATCTGAAGACAACATAAATGACATATCTGTACATTTTTGATAAGATATTTAGCTAAAAATAAATAAATAAAAAAGAAACATGGGACATATGTGACAAAGGTTGTATTTTTTGTCAATGGAATAAATAAAAAACGAACTGCACAGAAAGTATTAAGAAGGAGGATATTTCAAAAATATTAAATTTTTACATTAACAGAATAGTGCGGAAATTCCAATGTAATTTGAAGTAGTTCTTTGTTAACCTAAATATGAGATCAAAGTTTTGTATTGAAAAAAACACAGATGATTTAAAATGCAATTTTTAAAAAAATGAATTATGAAAAATATATTAAACTTACATATAACAGAATAAATTTTAGGTGATATTTAAATTCTATAAAAAAAATTTCTTTTTTTCACATTTGATAAAATACAATGTTTTTACATGCCAGATCACCACAATTTTTAAAGAAAATTTATGTTTTACAATGAATAATCCTGTCCTAATTTGTCAGTTTCAAATCTATTAAACTGTCAATGAAAAATCAAATGTTATTTGATGATGACCTAATAATCGAAAAATGAAAAGAGTAATCTTCACAATAATGACACCTACACAAAATGGAATTTGCTTTTAACTAGGAACATTTTGTAAATAGCAAAAAATAAATTTAGAAATGGTTTACAACCAAAAATTTTCAAAGCTGACTTTATGAAATAACCAACATAAACTGCAGAGAGTAATCTAAAGAAAATACAACTGCAAGAATAAGCACACGCCTGCATGCATAGTGCAAGTTAGAGGAAATATAATTGCATAAGTATATGCTTGTATGCATAATGAAAGATAAAAGGAAAATGCAACATCAAGCTGTGAAACAAAAATGAGAGCTCTTGTGTGCTCAGATGTATTTAAGAACAACCTCAATGTCAACTCCCCGAATCTCAAAATTTTAAAAAAATATTGGTGCGAATTGAACAATTTTGTAACACGTAAAATTTGAAGAAGACCAAGTTCTCTCTTGATAAATGAAAAAGCCCTAACACAACTTAATTTTCTAAATGCTTTTTTGTAGCATTTTGTAGACAGTGTAAATGAATAAAATTTTTATGAAATCAGAGAGCTCAAAATCCAACACAGTGAAGAGTTGCATTAAAATTTATATCAGACCTAATCCTTATATGATGCAAGGGGGACAAAAATTTTCTCTCTGCATTCCTACAATGGTCAATAGGAGGACTGACTGATTTCAGAATTAAAAGTCTCTAAAAAAATGAGCAATAGTGGAATGAAACAAACGGTATATTTATTGTGAGAGCTGAATAATTTGAAACAGAAATTTTAGAATTAGCACTGCAAACCATTAATGGCCAATGCGATCAGTTTTAATGTTAAAACAGTCAATGAAGGTTGTCAGACCTGATTAGAAGGTTTAAATGATCTACACTAACGTGTTTTTCTGGTGCTGAAATATTGCAGTTTAGATTACAATCTAACCGTATTTGTATTCTTTTCAAAAATATTATACAGCGCCTTCTGTTGACAACTTTTGTAAGTAAATTCAAAAATTCTGCTTAAAGGTTTTACAGCTTTCACAATAGACATACTGTTTCATTTTTCTCATCCTTTGCTTCTGAGATATTTAATTTTGAAATTAAGAAAGTCCACCACTGGACGCATTGTAGAAGTTTTGCAGGAATGCGGAAAAAGAATATCTTCACTTGCATCATATAATGGTTAGTGCCTACATAAATTTTAAGTTCATTCGTCACTTGATTTGATTTAAAACTTTCTAATTTCATAAATTTTTTTTTGTTAAACCGGTACCCTGTATCATTTGAGGGCAGAGTTGGACTAAAGCACCATGCAAATAATGATTGATTTGATTTTTCATAGAATGTATTAGCTTTGACACTACATTGCTTGAATGACAATGCAACCCGAGTGATTTGCTATTAACAAAATTAAAAAAATTACGGGTGACGTTTATTGCAAGAACATAGAAATGAGAGAAGAATGGAGGGGAACACTGGCCATTTTGCAAACTTTTAACATTATTTACAGAATGAAAATGAAACAACCCTTCTTACCCACCTCTCAAAGTTTTGGTTTATTATATTAAGCGTCTCCATCGAAGCAGGCTCAGTAAATGGCGTGTCAATGGTCTGCTCTGAGCTTTCTAAGTTACAAGATAAAGGGCTATCGACAATTGCTTCACATTCTTTAGACGTAGTGGTATTGGAGGAGCATAAAATGCTGCCAGGGTACATCTTGCTATTTTCCATCTCTGTAACTTCGTGAATAACAGGTCCACTATTAGTAACATTACCTGGTGATGAAGGCTATAAAAGACAACTCGAGTATATTCACTTAGAATTTTACATAATCAAAAGTCTTATAACTCCTACACATTTTGCACGGTTTTAACTGAAGTGCCTGCAGAAGGCCACGCAAGATAAACCTAGAGAGCTGAAATAATTTTCAAAAAACATATGTTATATTCGCACATCACAGAGGATGTTTTATAAATAAATATAATATGTAAAAAAATAATATAGTCAGGACAATATGTATAAGAATATAAAGTCACTGATAAATATAATAACTAGGCTAAACTAAAAAATCACTATAAATTGAAGAAAATATTAAATTATATTATTCACAGCTCATAAAATACTTATAATAATAATATAATAATCACTTAAGTAAGTCCAAGCTAACCAGAATGTTGTGGTGATTTGAAAAGCATCAAGTTTGTCTCTGCATTACATACACATCTCAGAGAAAAGTCTTTACACAGAGCTAGATACACTTTGATACGCTAGATACACCTTGAACAGCTAAAGGTGAACAGCTTAACCATACCATCATCCATTCTCATACATAAATTATCGCTATTTAATATTAAAACTCTGTAAATACTATCAATCCAAAAAAAGAAAAAGTATGAAACAGAATTTATTGCAAAATTAATTTTGAATCAGCCAAAAAATGACAAAAATGCAAAATATGACAAATTTTAAGTTTTTTTTTAGCAACATTAATTTGAATATTATAGCAACAATGACATTAAAAATATTGCATACATATACCTCGCTATATGTACTAAAGCAATATAAAAAAAGGGAATAAAAAAAAATCTTAACTGCGCAAAAATAATTAAATCCTGCAGAAGGTGCAAAAAGCTCGAGTTTTTTAATGCTATTCATTTCGGAGTGATACTTACCATTCCATGATTTGAATCCTGGTCGTTGAGCTGAACATAATAAGGAGGGGACATTCTTGCCATTTTCTGCTGTTTTTCTCCTTCATCAATCATGAGTGGCGATTTGCGTTTTAATGCAATTTCTCTGCTTGATCGAACCATATTGACGAAAAAGGGAAGAAGCTGGAAAAAAACAATTAAATATATTAATTTATTACTCAAAATCTACTTGTTAATCCAGTTGCTGACAGTATTTCAAATCAGGCAGCATAGCCAGATTTTTTTCAACAAGAAATAAGATTAAGTACTTTTCAAGCATTCAAAAAATATTTGTATCCAAAAAAAAAAATCATAATAAGATTCTGTGCAGTAATAAAAATTATTTTTTTCCTATCGTTTAAAGTTCGTAATTCGTCAATATAAAATTAATAAAATTCAAAAACATTTTCACTAACTTCACATAATCATGATAAAATAAATAGTTCCTGATTTGCTCAGAAAATTGGGAAAATCGGGCATTTTTTGTGATTTGGAACGACAATCGCCACGACAAAGAAAAAATCTCCCATTAAAAGGTAGAAAATTAAGCACTTTTTACAAACACCGAACTAAAAAAAAAAGCTCCTTTAAGCACTTTTAAAAAATCTAAATCAAAAATAAGCACAGTTAAGCACTTTTTAATAACGCTATGCACCCTGCATATATAATTATCATGAAAGTTCATTGTATAAAAGGAAGAACAGGTTTAACTTTTCTGCTTTAAAGAGTGTTTTAATATGAGTGGCAGACCAACTGCAAACATCGTCTTTCTCGGTATGTGAGTCGAATTTTTGAAACTTTAAATTGCAATAAAATTTTGGAGGCTGACTTATATACAGATAACACATTTCGACACAGAGATTCTATTCCAAAATTTGACTTCACTTGTCAAATAAATGCAATCATATTTAATAAAATGTAAGAGAGGAAAAGACTAACATTATCAAAAGCTGGCGAATCTTTCTTATGGAAGGCGGGATAAAAAATATCAAAACTAGCTTAAAACTTTAAAATGTTTCTGAAAAGTGCTTTTTACATCATCTCACTTTTTAATCCTGCAACAATATTTTGGTTTCTGAGACTTAAACTTCTCCTTTCTTGCATATGAGTAGTCAGATTTAGATTATATATTTTTTTTCCACAATTGCACATCCTAATGGGCATATGAGTTCAGTTTTGACAAAGATTTAAAAATACAGATTAAGGACGATTATTACAGTATGTCTATGAAACAAAATAAAATACGAAATTAAAAAAAAATAAATAAATAAAACAACTTTCTTTGATTTAGTCAATGTGTTATTTATAACAGTTGTTAAATAGAAGATAAATTGTAAAGAGAATATTAAACTGTAACTGTACTTGTTGCAAAACAGTTTGCTGCTTTGTGTATCTTTCTGAAAGCATGTTAACTTGTCTCCACAACATTCTGTTTTCCCGTTTGAGATGCCGCATGCCCTGCTCAGCACTATCCTGCTTTCCCTTCAAGGACTTTATGTTTGATATTAGTTCATCAATGTATTCTTGCTTTATTTTGGGATCTTCTGTTCGACTATTTGGAATCTGGTAAAATGCAAACAAAGTATTATCATCAAAAAAATTATAAAAAAACACAAGTGTACTTATAAAAACACTATAGTAAAAAAACGTAATTAATTCACAAGTCATGCTTCGTATAAATAAATGTAAGTTATCCTTAAGAGTCCTTAAAAAATGTAAGTTATTTTTTTGAAATGTTTAATGAAAAAGAAAGGATTGGAATAATCAATATAATGAATAATAATAATAATCAATAATATAACTAATAAGAATAATCAATAATATAATTAATAAGAATAATCAGTAATACAATAAAAGTCCTGAAATGTATTAAAAACATAAATTTAATATCTAAAACAAAAAATAAATATGTGCAATTGATTCAAATGGAGCAACGTGTCGTAAAGTAAAATTTAAGCATGGCATTCCATAAATGGGAAGGGAATATTTTACACTTTAAAATTTTTAATTGGAAGGTTGTTTTTATAAACCATTTGAAGTATATTTACAGTACAAAAAAAATAAAAAATAAATAAATAAATCGATATTTTTATGCATCGATAATTATGGAAGTTATGACTAATTCAAAGTTTCAAATATATGGGCAAAATGTATGTATAGTATGCAGAAAAAAAAGAGACTACCATGAATAATTTTTGTTTTTTAGTAATCTGCTCTTAAAAAAAATGTAATTTTCAAAAACGCAATTTTTGTAGAAATTATTCGACAATTTTCTCTCAAATTTTGTATTTTAAGATGCAAAATTTAATTTCTTAAAATGATGTAGAAAAACGTATACCTGAGAATTCAAATTTTTTTGATTATTAATAAAATAGAAATATTTTCGAAAATAACTTTTTGCATGGAATTATCTTTGGATAAACAAATTTTATAATGCAGTACTCAAAAAGTTCACGAGAGATTGAAAAATACGCAAAAAATAAAATTAACATTAAGGAGTTTAAACTTTTGGATCAGTCTCTTGATCAAACTATGGAGACCAAATTTCCCAGTTTGTAGCAACCCTCCCCCCTATTTTGGAAGTCCAAATTCCGAACTTGTTGAAAAAAAGTTATGTTTATACAGAGAAAGGGAGTTCTTGTGTCTGATTTCATAACTTAAAATATCGCGTACACTAATTAATTAACATATTTGAGGTCACCCCATCGAACCATTAAAATTGAGCCCTAGAACGTGAAGATCCGATTATTACATCAAGAGTTAGTCAGGGTGGTCTCTGTTTATTTATTTATTCATTGCGGCGGTATTTATTTTTTGCGGCGGTACATCTTACGGGAAAATAAATAAATAAAAATTGCGACTTTTATTTTTACTCTAAATAACTTTAGTTTTAATCTGTAGGTAATCAATCGACTCATAAACCACAAATTTAAAACGTTCTTATTCTTCGATTTACTTAAAATTCATCCCAAAGGAATTTTTATTAAAATACAGAAAGGTGATAATATTTAACGTTTGTAGCCTTTAAAGATGATTAAGTAATCAATAGTCTCGATAGGCAAAAAGTCCAGAAACCGACACTACCTCTCATTGTAACTTAACAGGATAATCAAGGCTATTCTCAAACCAGGCGATAAAAACTCACCCCTCAGAATGACGTCATAGGCGGGAAAATCCAGAAACCATTTATTTATTTATAAATTTTTTTTTTTTTAAAATTTCTCTGCGTTTATATGTGCTGTTCCAATAAAGCAGTATGCCTTTTTTTTCCGGGACCATTTTTTAAAGACACTATACTGATCGATTCCTGGGTTATTACCTCTCATTGAAATTTAACAGGATAATCAAGGCTATTCTATAAGGAAACTTACAGGATAACACAGGCGATAAAAACTCACCCGTCAGAATGACGTCACTCAAAAAATTTTCTGTATTATGACATACTGATCTAACTTATCAAGGAACTTCGTTATCACTAGATCAGAGAATATAGGCTGTATTACATGGTATTAAATTTATGGTTTCATAGAGAAAAATTTTTTCTCCGTGGGGATAAAGATTTAAAACTTAAAACAATCACGATTTGCCTAAATAACTTTGAAACGATGAAAATAACTTATAAACGATTCATTACAAGATCTAATTTCACATTTGAAATTTCTCCTTTGAAAATCTCCCCAGTGCCCTTCGATTTGGCGACAGATAATTATTATTTCTAAACTTTCGGATTTGAAATTTATTTCTTGATACCCCACTATAATTAGTAATTACTTCATACTCTTTCATTTGAAATGTATTTCTCTATCTTTTACTCAAATTAATTACTTTTTCTTTTAGCTATATAATTCGTAATTTGTTACTTGATATTCCATTCAAATAATTATTATTCATTATTCAAATAATTATTATTTTATGCTCCAAATAGTTATTATTTAACACTTTTTCACTCTAAATTTATATCTCTATAATTTAACTTGAATTAACTAATTATTATCATTCTTTTATACTTTTTGATTTGAAATTTATTTTTTTGATACCCCATTCTATTTAGCAATTAGTATTTACTTTTTCAGTCGAAATTTTATCTTCTATATTCCAGTTGAATTAAATATCCCTTTAGATCGTAATTTGTTTTTCGATATTCCATTAAAATATTTATTATTCAATTAATTAGTATCATTATTTTATGCTTTTTTAGTCAAAATTTAATTCTCTATATCCCACTTGAATTAATTATTTTTTTAAAACTTCTTAATTTATATTTTGTTTCCTGATATTCCATTCTAATAATTATTACTCAATTGATTATCATTTTATATTTTTTGATTTGAAGTTCATTTTTTGAGAACCCAGTCCAATTACTTATTATTTCCTTCTCTTCCACTCTAAATTTATTTCTCTAAGCTCGAATAAAATTATTTTAACTTTTTAATTCGTAATTTTCTTTTTCTTGATATTGCATTCAAACAATTATTACCCAATTAATTATTATTTTAAACTTCTGGTATTTTTCATTCAGATTAATCATTTTTTTAACTCTTAGATTTGAAACTTATAAATCGATTATTCCAGTTCGAAATTTATTTCTTAGTATTCCACTCCAATTAATTATTATTTTTCTTTTTGATTCTATACTTCGAAATTTATTTCTCGATATTCTGGTTTACAAAATCAAATTAATAATTATTGAACACTAAAACTGTTTATGCTTTGAAAATAATACAATAAAACAAAGATAAAAGTTAAGCTCAATAATTCAAAGAAACTTCCATAAATTCAATCTCGGTTTATTGATAAATGAGGATTATAGCTACTACGACCTTTAGCCTCTGATAAGTTTTGAACTTCTATTCTAAACATAGATATCAGGGGTAAATACTAAACTAATCAACAAATGTCATGACCCGGTAAATAACTGATAATGAAGTCTGATACAATAGTTTTAATGACCAGAAACAGTATACTTTGTATGCTTAACTTATCATGGTGTTCTAGAACCTTTATTTTTAAGGAGAAATTATTTCAACGGAAAATTAGTCAAGTAGATCGATGATAAATCTTTTGTTTCAAACACTTGTAATGTGAGATTAAATATTGGTTAAGTAGGTACTTACCTTCCTTTTAATAAGCTCTAGCAAGGATTCTTGACCCTTAAGAAAATACTGATGGTAAAACTCAATTTCGTTTTTGTAACAATGCATGCCTCCTTGGTCTATGCAACTGAGTTTTCTGAAGCCATCTGAAATTCAAAATATGTTTCAATGATTACATCGAGAGAGATATTCCGAGATCGAGAGATTTCCACATTTTTTTTTTTGATAGTTAGAGTCCCTATATCTAACGTAGTTTGGGAGAATCACTATGAAAAGATGACTGTGATTGGCTGAGAGCCAGAATTGACAGGAAAATAAAATTTCCTTTCAGAATTAAGATGGATCGTCCTGAAGAGGTATCTTTATCTAGTGGAATCTCAGAATTATAGATACTTTCTTTTTTTGTTTGCAGTTAAAGTTAATTTTAACCATGCAAAGTATCTATTATTTACAACATGAATACATTATTTCGCAAGTGTTCTTGTTCAAAAAGATTTCAATATTTTGAAAACCGCGATAGTTACACTTGGTATTTCTATCAAAACATTATGTTATATGCCCCCTCCCAAGAAAAAAAACTTTTAGACAAATTTTTCCAGTATTATGTATAGTATTAGTATACATGTCTGATATTTCATGCATAGTATATTAGTATTTTTCTAGTAGTATGCACAGTTTTATTTTTAGTATTATGCAAACAAATTAAAAATTAAGCTACATTTTCATATTTAATGATCTGAATAGGTTAATCAATAATTTATGAAATTATCGATCAGTTTGATGGTCATCTGGATGGTAATCATAAGCATAGACATCAATTTTTTAAGAATAAATTTAAAATAATTTCTTACACATATTTAGTTGTCTCACAAAGCTGGCCATGTTATTGTGCTTGAAATACATCGGCAGCAATTCTTTTGAAAATCGAATTTCATCATATATAATGAAGCTAGTACCAGCCTAAAAAACAAATAGATAAGAGTTACTATCAATGAAAATGACAGGGTATTTGTTCGAAATACAATCTGAATGTAAAAGTATTATATATTAATCCATTTTAGGCCAAGAATAGACAGTTTAATAAAATATGGTATTATTTTCATTGAAATGCGCTTAAATTACATTCATAAAGACATACAAAAAATTTTGTGTATAAAAATACTTTATTTAAGAAATAAAATGGTGCGTATACACACCATTGGCTAAATCAAAGAACAAACGAATTTAGTTGAATGCTTGTTTTTTTAATGACATTTGTTTTATTTTTTATTTACGGAAGTTGCAACTTTAATCCACCATAAAAGCATATGATTAATTTCATGCAGAATAACTATACATTTGCAAAAAGGCGAGTTTGCCAATAACCGCTTCAAGCGAGAGAAAAAAAACTATCATAGTTGGAAAATTTTTCAACAGAAAGTGTTTACTCCAATTAAATTACTAATATTTTATAGATGTCTTTAGAACCCTTAAGAATAGTAGGAAAGTATAATTAGAGAAAAATAATACGTCACTGTATTAATAAAATATATATATGGATTAAACGTTTAATTCGGTGCAGTTGTAAGTCAAGAAAAGAGAAGTTTAAAATTGATAAATTTTTGTTAAAAATACAAGTTTTTAAAACTTTTTTTAAAAGAAAAGCCTTGTTTATATCTACCGAAAATTATTGTAATCAAACATACAATACAGATTTGTTTAGAAAAATTCATTTTGACGTAATTTTAAGGATCGAGTTAAATATATAATAACTTTTTTCAGTGGAAAAAATTATTTGCCAATACTTCGCCAAGATAAAATTTTATTTCCAAATTTACGATTTTATCACATTTGACGAGGTGACAATTGCTTAATATATATATATATATATATATTAGATTTTTTAATAGTTAAAAAGGAAAAAAAAGGAAGGTAAAATCTACCATTTAATTACCACAGAAAACTCCCGCCCCTCCACGTTTTTCAAAAGATGATGCGCCTTATATTTTAAGTCTATCAAAAGTAAAAATATTTCCTCCTTTTAAATCTACTTAAAGCTATATTTAAGTTTTTTTCATTATTATATTTAAATACTTGTATTTCATAATACATGACACATTACTCATTTCGGACATTAATAAAAATAAAAAAAATATTTGAAAATTTCTGAGCAAAAATATCAAATCCACTTTTTTTTCTTTGGCAGAAAATAGGATCACGAAAGCTAACTCCTAATTATGGTCGATTAAAAACATTGTCAATAAACCATTTTATTTTTCTCTACCAAAATTACCGTATCTATATTTATATAAATACCAGTCATTTTCAACCGCTTACGAGTCAAGGACGGGGAAGTTTAAAATAAGAAAAACAACGATTTGGCAGAAAATATTCCTGCCATTCATTCGCTTAACACACACCGTTATTAAGAAACCGAAATGTCACATGAAAATCCATGTGCTTCAACTTTAAGTTTAAATTGATTTTGCATCATTAGATTCAGAAGATACCTGCCTTATTAAGGCGGATGACACAATAGCGTTCATACTACTGAATCCAGTCATTTTGCTTTCACTGGAGGCGGATAAAATATAATTATGATAGTACGTGAATGAACATAAACACATGCTGTGACACCTGAGTTTGTGTTTACACAGTTCTTGTTTAAAAGAAACATAATCCGTCTTTAAAGTTGTAAATAAGGATATGAAATTTAACAATAATTAAAGTAATTTCAGTTGCTTTCAAGAGAATTTTTTTTTTTAATGATTACGAAAACATACGAACTGATTATTTGTTTATGTGTCATAAGCATTGGGAAGAGATATTTTTATTGTTTTTATCTAAATTCTTGTTCCAACGCATTTAATTGGTTTAATTGTATGATGATATTCCTTTCGTTTGTCTAACTCACCATACTAGAATTAAGAAACTGAAACATCACATGAAATTTCATGTGTCTCTCTTCAAGTTTAAATTGAGCCTTGCATCATTAGAATGCTTGATTCAGAGATTATTAAGACGGATGAAAAAACATCCACTGAATTACAGTAATTTTCTTTTCAATGGAGACGGATGAAATATGATTAGTACCTGAATCAACAAAAACACATGTTATAATACGACGGGATGAAATTTTTTTTATTTGTATTTTATTTTGATGTTCGTTTTCACTTATAAATAAGGATATAAAATTTATAATAATTCAAGTAGGAAATTTAATTAAAGAAAAACTTTTCAATGATTTAAGGAAAAATAAAAACTATTGCTTAACGAAAAAATAAATATTATTCTTCAATGATTACAAAAAAGGCAGATTACTATATTTTTGGGTAGACTATTGATATATTTCAGGGGTCTGTCCAGACATTTTGTGAAAGGTCCGTTTTTCGTGAAATTGTGAAAAAATTACTCACATTCTTTCAACCAGGGTCCGCTTTTATGAATTTGTGCAAATAGGGTCCGTTATTGCAAAAAAAAAACTTTTTCAAGGAGTTTTTAAATTGTAAAGACATACAAGATTATGCTCAACACTGTAAAATTATAATTAAAAAAATTAAATTTTAAAAAATAACCAACAATTGCTGCTTCTAAATTAGAGATGCAACATACAAATATTTGGTATTTAGCCTATACTGCTGAACGCAGAATATTAATTTCGGACGAATAATGGAAGAATCGTCTGCCGAAGACAAAACTTAATTCGTTTACATCCATCTTTCTTGTTTTCTGCCCTGGAAAGGGTTTATTCGATTAACAAAATAATAATGAAGATAAACAAATTTGTGAAGGGTCCGATTAAAAGAAAAATCATTTTGTGAAGGGTCCGTTTTTAAGTTAAAATATTTTGTGAAGGGTCCGTTTTTATGAAAAGATATTTTGTGAAGGGTCCGTTAACGGACCCAAATTTCTTCTAAACAGACCCCTGTATTTTTAGAAATTTTTTTTCTTCTTCTGAGTTTAAACATTGAATAAATATAAACATAAAAAATAATAAAAAACTGCATTGATTTTTGCATTATTCTACGGGCTCCGCTCGATTAATTTAAAACTCATATCTGGAAATACGTAATCTCCTTTCTAAGGCTCTTCTATAGCACTCTAATTCAGGGGCTCTATTTCTATCTAGTTGCAACTTATGACATCTACTCGAGCGCGAGTATATAAAATAACGAAATAAAGATCTAGTGAGGGAAAAAATAAATATACTACAACAATGGATAAGTAGTCAATATGTAAAACAAAAAATTACGAAAATGCACTTAAATTTGCAATAACTTATGACCAAATAAGAATTTTTGAAAGGAAAAAAAAAAAAAAAAAAGATTCTAGTTGTTGAACAGTTAATATATTCTCGAACAAAATGAATCTCAATAATTTTATTATATCGAATTCCCATAACACTTTTCAATACACCTTAGTAATTTAAAGTTTCTAAGTCTTATAGTTTTCGCACAACAAATTATTATTTGCTGGAGCTGTTAACCCTTTAACAGGCCCTTTATTTCTAGTAAAGGTAAATGAAAGTATTTTTGGAATTGAAATTGTTTAAAGAACAGTAATTGATATTAAAAAAAAAAACTCATTTAGTTTATAAAAATGCTATTTTTTTGGTGGTAAATATATTTAAAATGACCTATTAGGAACTTACTGAATTTTATTTTTCTTAATTTATAAAATAAATTCCTTAAATGCTACAAACTTCATACGTTTTTTAAAAGTGACAAATGGTTACCAATTTTATTCAATCTCACTTCAAGAAGGCTGAAGTTATTGAAAAATGGGAACCTTAATTAAAAGTGGTAAAACGTGGTGGTACGTATACTTACCACGGCCTTCAAAAGGGTTAAGTGGTGGAAAATAACTTTTAAGCAGGTTATTTTAGAAATCTAAAACTACTGTAATTATTATCATTATACGCATTACTTTTATCAATATGCTCATAATGAACAAAAAAATATCAAAATAAATAATTTGTTAAAAAAAAAAATCATTCAATAAATAAAGTAAAATAAATTAATAAGAGTTTGAATTTCGAAAAAAAAAAATTCACCGTACTTTTTAGAGTTAAAATTTTTCTGTAAAGAACAACAAGCGTTTCCTTCCCTATAATTGGTGAGTAATAATCCTTTCCTGAATAAACTTCTACATTAACAATTGTTTTAATAACATTTAGTGAATACTGAGTTAAATATAAATTAGTTTTTAGATAAATAACAAACAAAATAATAATTTTAATGCGCAGCGATATTTAAAATGATTTTCTTCTGTAAATAGTACAAATACTCCAGAAAATATGCTCACGTTGGGAACCTAGGGGGCCAGTGTTTGATCTGAGGAAACATACGTAATGATTCGAAAAAAATTTAATTAGTCTTTCGTTACTGATTTTGTTTAAAAAAATTTCTTATATGCATTAAGAGAAATAAAAGAATGAAAAAAAAGTAGATAACCCCTTAAATACACTGTTGAAAAATAAAACGGTCTTTATAAAACATCTATTTGAAAATTTTATACTAATGAGCAATGAACCTTCTCAAAGAAGGAAAAGTTTTCCAAATTAAGAGAAAAAAATAATAATAAATAAATAACTTGTCAAATAAAAATCAGTGAAAAATTATTTATTGAAAGGAACAGGTTTACGAATCTGCAAACATGTTTTGAATCCTAGTACTATTTCATTTCGTTAAAAAGGTTTTTCACAGGTATCATCCGTATCATTGAGGAGGGAACAGTTACGACACTATTCTCGTTTCCCATGACGTCACACTTCCACGTGCGGCACGTGTAGGCGAATGTGTTGTTTACGAAGAGCCTTCCATACATTCCAAGTATAAGCAGAGGTTGCATTTTTGTTTTATTATTTTTCATCTTTTTTAATAAGGAGTTGAATTAAAACACGTGTTGCTATAGATTTTTTTTTATTTTTATTTCAAGGGATCATGTTTATACACACACGAGGGATTTGTATTTTGTTATAA